TTACATGAAATCAGAAACATCCTCCTCCTAATCATCATCGTATGGCAAAATACAGTGAACCAAACTTCACTGATTGCTGCCAAACTCAACAATGCAAGCTTGGTGGTAAAATATAAGGTGGACAGGGATTGAACCTACTTTGAGGGAGGGATAAGAAGATGAACCGCTATGGTCAACGCACCGAGTGCATAATCGAATTCTACATACATACCGTTTCAAGCATTCTGGCGTGACAAGAAATCACAACAAGAACGCCACTGCTGTCGGTTCACTGCCATATCCTTCAATGTCTCCAACCAACCAGTTGGACCCAACCTGGAAGGCGCGTGACACCTATTCTACGTAATGGTTCTGTGCATTTCTTCATGCCTCGTTTCCACGTCATCTGTTGGCCTCCACGTGGTCTCCTCCGGTCCGGAGCGGCAACAGTAAATAAGGTGCGATGTGGTAGACGGTGGCTGGGCATACGCAATACGTGCCCTAGCCAGCGAAGCCTTCTAACCTGAATTGGATGTACTAGGAGGTTTATGCCTGACAGACTTCCAAAAACCCGACGGCTTACCTCCAGGTTACTAACCCTTTCGCTTCATCCCATGTGAGCTAAACTACGTAAACATCAATAGTCGAAAACCTCTAGCCGATGGATATCTTCTACTCAAAAATTCATGGTCTCACAACCATAAAGCAGAAGTGAACTGACCTCCAGTACTGCGTATCAGTCGGAACAGTCTTGAACTATTCCCTGATGCGGCTGCTACTTCTATTTCAATACCTATTGTTGTCCACCAGTTTTCACGGTCATTCTTGGGTCTCTTCGTCAGCCGACATTGCAGACGCCACCTAAACCTGTTTTGATCCTGGCAGGTCGGGATTTGTCGTTTTTGATCCATCAGTGCTACACACTCATCAGATATTCAATACTTCCATCGGGTATGAGGCTCGGTCCCACAAGCAACATTTGCAGCGGAATACATCGCTCGCCTAATTTGATCCCACTGCTCATTTATATCATCACATTGAGGCACGCTTAGCTCACACGCTAGCTCTGAATCATAGCGTGCACAAACAGCTGGAACAGATAGTCGATGGTGAGCTATCCGAGTTTACCGGTCTTGTCGTTGACCAGTGAACCGCAGAGTGAACTGCATCAAACTAATGCGTGGTCAGACTCAATGCAGATGATCAAATTGCTGGATATGAGTTAGCGTACCAGTTTAACTGGAGCGCCACGTAGCTGTCCGTCGAGGGCTGTGTCGGAATTTGATACTGGATAGGAACAGATGGTGATCTGCGCAGAACTAAAGAAGCCCATCACCGTTATCTGTTCAATGGCAGGGCAGAGCACAACTACCACCGACGAAAGCTTCTGATGCGCTTAGTTTTCCGACCTGCGCGTTAAGGTCACCTGCCTGTACAAGTATGTCGGAGCTTCGACTCATCCGAATGAAATCAGAGAGTTTATCGTAGAAAGCGTCCTTTTGTGTATCAGAACTGCAAATAGTCGGTGCATACATTGATATGACAAAGAAACATATATATCTTTCACTAAGAATTCCATTGTGCGTGCAAGGCAAGCTTGTTGATCTATCTGCAACAGAGTCCTCACTTTGAAGGCACCCAGATTAAATGACTGACGAGGCTTCAGAATCTGCAATCCATTTCGTGGTACATTATTTAGAGTGTAATTTGGCAACGACCTTAGGCGGGCGACATCCAATTTGCTTGAGGGGCTATTACAGGTCGGAAGAAGAGGAAAATGGAGAGGGCTGGGTACTGAAAACAGAGAATTAAACAAACGTTGTGATATCTGATGCAATGGGCGATGTGGTTCTGATTATCCTGCGCGACGACCGATGCAATATGGAATTACTTTTAGTTTGTTCATGTATCAGATGCAATTAAATGCAACAGAAATCAATGGGATTATAATACATTGCCTTTTGTTTACATGTACTCATGTTCATCAGTCAATTGACTATGGTGTGGAAAACATCGGATCAATGGTGCACCAGTACTAAACCTCTATCACCTAACTAGCAGTTAGGTGACGGATTGCCCAATCTCCCTCTACGTGAGTGTATCAAAGAAAAGTATGCTTTATTCACTTCATACAGACTCATCAGTGGATGGATGATGATAACTGACAGAGATCAGTGAGGCTTACTTAAAGTAGGATTCATAAGGAACACGTATCAAACATGAACTGTTTTGGTACACTTGCGAATACTCACTCTCACTCATACACATGCCATTGTCCTAGCAGTAGTTTTATTATTTATTTACTCATTCATTTTTATTTATTTTTACGAGTCCTGCAGAAAACAGACAACGCATATCACCATGTGATTCGTTCTGAGAACCACGGGAATCTGTTTTTGCAAGCGATCACAAATGTCTTGTTGACACAATCTAATATGTATTTTGCTCATTCCAAACCGGTGGGAAAGCTAGATGTTGAGGTACATTTACTGAGAGGAGAGTACCGAGGGTGAGATGGGTTTAGTAATATTCTGGTAGAGAGGTTCTGGCAAGCCTTAAGGTGTTGTGAAATTACAAACTACTCAACATGTTCGCGAGATACACCACTGTATCGACATACGTGTTCGATGGATTTCCGTATGAGATTGAATTGTGTTTGATTGAAAGACCCGGAAAAATACCTGAGGATGCATATAACCATCGAAGAAGGATACAAGAGAGGACAAAACGTTTTATTATGTGGGTTGGGATAGATAGCATTTTCAAACACGTAATGTAAAATGTGAGTTTCCTGACTTTGTGAGATGTCTCGACAATATGAAGAGACGAAGAAAGATTACGGAAAACGGTGACTCCGTGGTATTTGACGGAGCAAGCTCTGGAAGCTTTGCTCCATTGATAATGACATGCTGGTAGGAGTTCATAAAAGCAAATTGGTTGCCCTTCAACAAAGAAAATAAGACATATTAACACTTGGAGGGATTCATTCTAAGGTTGTATTGTGAAGACCAGTCGGTGAGCAGTGAAATGTTCTGCATACGTTTCGGGTGCAGGGAGGGATTGCAAAACTTTATTGTCATACACTACATCATCGGCATACCTAATGAGCAAACAATCATTGGAAGCAGGCATGGAAGAATAACGGGACAGGATAGGACAGGATAGGACACAACACTACAGGACTGGACAGGTCAGGTCACAGAATTTGAGGCGGAGTTATAAGCAGTCCAGTTTCTTGCACCAAAGAGCTTGAGAGCACCACGGCGCTGTGACAATTGTGTTATTTCGTTCACGTAAACGTGACTGAGTGTGCTTCTGGAAAGGGAAAACGCACTTCTGATCGTTCCTCAGAGTGACAGTGCACGTTTCAGGGTTTGTCAGGATCAAAGTTACAACGCGCTACCCTCCACTCCGAGCTACTCAGAGTGAGAGATTTGTTGTGGGGAAGAAACGTGATCTAACAGTTGTGGTGCTCAATGTTGGGAGATTTCAGTAAAATGCGTGATGAATAGTGCATGAGCATGGAGTTGCAGTAGTTAAAGAATGCAGATGAAGTGATTGAAGATAGAAGACTGTAATTTAAATAGCGGGGACAGGGACGGATGAACTACTAACGACCTCAAATCCGAGTTCAGATACAATCGCGGAACGGTGATGCCCAGGAAGCGTAGAGTTTCAGCTTGAACTCGAAGCCACTACCTCCTGAGACAGTTTGTTCCATGCATTTAGTATCCACTGCGAGAAAAGTTAGCTCTGATGCTTCTGAGTGCACGGGACATTCCTAACTTCATTCTATGTCCCTTTCTAAGATTGTGAAGAAATTTGGGCCTGTAACCACAAATAAGGGCGTCACTATAATAAAAAAGCACAAAAGAACAGCTTTACACTTTCTGTCCAAGTAAGAAGAAACCTAATGAATGAGGAATTTCAACGCACCGATGCTCGATCTGGAACTGTGATAAGCTAATAGAGTGGGAACAGATACGTCCAGCCGGGATTACAGCTTCAAATAAAACTATGCTTTATTCACTTTACACAGTGACGTGAACTGGCGAAGCTTACTGAGACCTGCTGAAAGCAGGATTCATAACGAACACGTGTCAAGCATAAACTGTTATGGTACACTTGCGGATACTCACTCTCAGCCATACACACGCCGTCACCTTGGTCGGTAATTTGAAAATGCCTTTAACAATGTATCATGCCGACCACATTTCTGAAACACCTAATAAATTTCAAAAGACGTATTGATAGCTAAAACTGCTCCACAGGTTGATTTGGAAATGATAATGAGTCCCGTGGCAAACAGACAACGCATATCACCGTGTGATTCTTTCTGAAAAACACGGGATTTTGTTTTTGCAAGCGATCATAAATGTCTTGTTGACACAATCTAATATGTATTTTGTTCATTCCAAACCGGTGTGACTTCCAAATCAAAATTAACTCGTCACTCAGACCTCACACGTGTCACACACCTTTGAACTTTGATTAGACTACGTATAATATAAATACAGCAATTTACCTGAATGATACATTCCAAGTGAACTCAATCCAACACTGAAAAAGGCACAGTTTCTTTGTCAAAGTGTAGGCCGTTTTGTAGTTTTCGGATTTGATTCTATTCCATTTTTGTTCGTAAAAATAGCCGAACTATTGAAATGATTCAGAAATAGACCACGAAACGCCTTGTTCAATCCGAGATTTTGCGTTATCTTCCACAGACAAAATTTTGACAACATGAATGAGTAGCGACTTACCTTTCCGTTAGTGAGAGTGGGTCCGGGTATTTGACTCCAAACCCCACATCCACATGTACATCCCTCGTTGAGTCTTGAGACAAACAAGTAATCCGGAATCATTCTCGTATGGATTATCAACAATCAGTTAATGGATTTCGCATTGAAAATCACTTTAATTAGATTTGTCACAGATAGCATTCTGATACACAGATTCTCATTTATCGTTCTGAATTTTCGTGTTTTTCTTCCTATGTGTGTGTGTGTTTGACAGACCTCACCATGCGTCTCATCCTCGGGCTTCTGTTATTGACAACTGCCTGTCTGGGCGATCTGCATTGGGACTATATGATATTCGCGCAACAATGGACCGGAACATTTTGCAATTTTAACCCCGTAAGTTGTGCAATCGATTCGTGCAATGTTTCAGAATAACTAATTTTAGCTTACATATCCGCATGTATTTTCCATTTGGATATTCCTCGGGAAAACACACTTCGGTGGTATTTACCGTTCTGGTATGTTCATTTTGGATCCACTAAACAGAACGGTCATACCAAATACGAGTTCACCATTCCAATGGAACCGGGGTGTATGCGACTAGACCGGGTCGAAATATAACACCTTTACTGCCTTGAAGCCCGTAATTCGCGAACACAGATGCTGATAACATCTCAGACAGTGTTATCGTAAGAGAAATCATCTTGACGATCGCTCTACAGGTTTGGAAAATATCAACCGTAGTGCTTTCGTGTAAATCAGGCCTAAAAGTAAAGTGATTGGCTCAAAATCGATACAAACATTTTTACTTCGATTTCCACAAATAGTATCTTGAGCAAGCTAATTCTCATGTCTGTCTTCATCGCCATCGAATCATCCGGGATGATTTTGGCACTGAGGTGTTCTCCATCCAAGATCAAATTGTTCCGTGTGATCCGAGATCCGACGGGTAACTCTTAGTTTCAAATCATAATCCTTTGAAAATAAACTAGGATCGACATAGATAGAAATAGGGTTCTAATGTAGTGTAAATGAAAACTGATCAGCTTCAGTAATTGTTTCTGCTTTAGCAGTTCTCATACAGAGTAGAGTTTGAATTTTCACGGGTTCGTGGATCACCAGTTAGGGAAAGGAAGCAAAATGAGATTGATATGTGTTTATGAAATTTGCAGTTTTTCCGTTATTGTGAGTAAGCCTCGGTTATTAGAGGTGAGATGAAACAATTTATCTTGAATCTGAACAAACAAATTTGCACACTTGATGGAGTGTCAGTTATTAATCAATTGCTTTAAGTAGTTGCGATTAGCTAGCACCCGTTCCAGAGTTCCGAAATGATTGATTATTATACATCTGTCGTTTGGAAAGTAGGCCACTGAGCACGTCTCGATGTTGCGAGTGGTAAAACGGTCTATCAAGTAGTTATCATTGAATGATAGTTGACGGACGATGAGCAACGATGTTGTGGGAAACGGAGCGCTTTTGCCACACCAAATTTGCGCAGATTCACTCGATCCGCAGAAGATAAGAAGAAGAAGAGGGTCATCGGTTCGGATACCCTTCTTGAAATCAAATTTTGATTGCTAACCCAATCGATCTCTTGGTTTCGCACAGTTGGGAGCAAAGATTTATGTCAGTCACCAAACACGAGTACGGTGTCGTTTGTAGGAAGGCTTATTTGCACATCTCTCTCTTCCTCATACAGTGCATTTCCAAGCCGGTGGACCAAGATTTTACCATCCACGGTTTGTGGTAAGTCATCACCATCTTCATCACGGTTTATTGTCGGCATAAGAAACTTTTGGTTACAGTAACTCCGACCCAAATAGTCGCGATTGCGATTTAACCTATGCAATTATCAAGCTCTTATCATGCTTCAGCAGTCAATGACGTTCCTTATCATTCCACTGATCCAGACTGTTCCACGCCCTTCTGTTCTCGTAATTGGTTAACTGATATTATTGGTTTTCATCATGCGAAGAACCGAGAGTGCATCCCATTTTCGCGCATTATTTACTTTCGTTAGGCCCACTCAGTCGCCAGAAAAAGAACCTACAAAGTGCCCGGCTGCACCGGCTTTCAATGAACGTCTCCTGAGTGTAAGTTCACACACACACACACGCACACACTTACACGCAATCACTATGTTACAGGTTGAACGTTAGAGTCACTTTTCAACTGGACGTCTCAGTTTGGCACACAGGAGAAAGGAATAAATGAATGACTATGTTTCAGTTGGTTAGGTTTAGAAATACGGAAGTGCGTAGCCTTAAATCAGAAGCGTATGAATCACATTTCAATGTCTTATTTAGATATAAACCTTATCAGTTCCCAGTGTTGGCTCGCAATGATATAAAGCCGACCGGGATGATCTGAATGTGGAGTTTGCTTACGCTAACCCGACCACGAGTATTTGCGCGGTCGCTAGACGTGCATTTTTGACGGTACTGCACGTGGATCGAACAACTAAACACGATCATTTATTTTACAGTTCACGCACCATTCTGGGTAGAATGATCTCGATTTCGCACGCGTGGATGTAACAGATTTAAGGATTATGGGAACCTTGTTTACCGGCTTAATTACCACGTGAATCAAATTTGTTCCCAGCCGGTATTGTTTGTTAGCTCTCTAATGACTAGTCAATTTCCAATGCTGGTATCATCGCAAGTCGTATAACAAAAAACGTTTAGAAAATATAATCTGGCCACACGAAGTTGAACAGGTGCATCGAAGGCTATCAGATGAATTCTGTTATAAAAGAAAGAGCCCACTGGCCCGGAACCCTATCGTCCACATCCATCTGATTTCTGTCGTGTTGTTGGTGAATACGGCTGCGTACATTTAAGGTAGTTTACACAAACCCGAGATGATCAGACTCCAGAAAAATGGGTAGTGGTTCATTTGTGTGTGTGCATTTGGTGCTCCGCACAGATCGCTTATTTAGAATGTATGTTTTCACGAGACACTTTGTGTCTAAGAGGAGCAAAGAATTTGAAGTAACTTCTGCGGGTACTGTCACACATTTTCGTGATTCAGTGGAATACTCTCCGTTGTATATTGTTGATGAACATGAGTTTTTCAAAAGTTGCCCATCACACATAGGCAATGGTAATAAGTTGATGGATAACACAGATTAGCAATGGGGAAACAACCGAAGAAAAAAATTCGTTCCAACCTAATTCACTGAACGAGTTTGAAGATTTTGGTGGGATTGAAAATTGACCGGACATGTCGCTGTGTTAACAGTCGTCTTTCCTCTATCCGTTCAGCGTAAATTTCTCTCATCGATTATACTCACGCATGTGGAAACAAATAATCATTTAATTGATATGTTCTATTCTCTGATGACCAATGACAGTTTCATTCACGGTCACAATTTGACGTCACTGTCTACATCAAACTGCTGTAAACCGATCTACATAGAATTCAAAATCTCTCATCAGCGTTTTCTGTTCAAATTATACGACACAACTGGCATCAGTTGCATTAGCACAACCCGATGGAAGGCTTTATGCATAAGATAAATTTGTATTGTATACGTATATCTCATACCCATTATGATTCCTTAATCTGTTCTATCAACTCTGGGTGCCTCGTTCTTCGTACGCTAGCCCATCATGGATAATCTTCGCCGATACTGGCCGGATCTGTTGTCCAAGGCGGGTCCCGTCCCATTTTGGTAAGCACATGTCGTTGAACATTAATATTAATAATAATGTGATTGTAATAATATTATCATCGTTTTGAATAACTCATAATCAGGCCGTTACCGTCTCTATGAGAGGAAAGACCTAGGCGTGCGGAGCAGAACCATAAAATGTGGGGAATTATTCACTTTGTGTGTGTGTGCTGCATACCGCATTCTCCGATCTCTTCGTCCGGGGTTTTCAGTCGCGTTGTTCGTGTGACCCAGTTGTGAGGGATCAGTGTTGTTGTGTGAAAATGTATGTGTATGTTATGTTTCCAAACAAGCGTATGTGTATGTGTTGGGTTCGCGAACCCAGGCGATAATTCCGGCTATGGCCAACATACGCATTCTTACATACTCGGGGCACCTGATCAATAATGTGCGGTGCTGCACTTGGTTCAACACGACGGACAGTGTCAACCGAGTGAGCGAGATTCGCACGTATGATAGATCCGGAAACATCTTGACTCGGTCAGCGAGGGTGGTGTACTTTCTTCCCTAAACGTGACCACTTATGAGATAGGAAATCGGAATTATTGGTAACTACGATGTCCAGGTTGGATGTCCGACCAACATGTTCACAATGGCTTTACTCACACAGAAATCCTACATGAATCCTGAAATCAGAGAAGTTTGATCTGATTCGGTTATTTAATCAAAAAAACTAGCTACTACTCAGAAACTCCTGAAGGTATTCGAAAACCGTGCCCTATATTCAGGAGGGAATACCACGAATAACTGTAGACCTGGATTTCCATAGTGCATACGGACATGGAGTGGTCAGGGCTGTGAACAGGTTACGGTATTCGAATGTGAAATATTCGTTGGATTGAATGCCGCGCCGATCTGGTCTCAGATCACACCGCACAAAATACTCTCATCAGAGGACTTGGTTGAGCTGACTAGTCACACATAGTAGTAAACCTATTCAAGCATAACGATGCAGGTAGTTTATCCACACTGTCTTCAAACTGTGAAACCCCATAACTGATTTCGATCACTTAGTGATATCTATAATTCGACTGTCTGCATATCTCTCTGTGTTCCGGTGACATATTTTCTCAAAGGAAACACGAATGGGACAAACACGGTCGATGTGCTATTGAGAATCCCCTCATCAAGGATCAATTGAGTTACTTCACTACGTGTCTATCGCTGAAAACCAAAATACCGCTGATTGGGTAAGTAATGCTCTGTTTATTCAATTCTAATTTCGTCACCAGACCACGTGCAAATTGCACTCCTCATTTTCATAATCTGCACAGAGTTGAAGTTCTGACAAGTGGTACATCTTATCCTCCGACGATAAACTGTATATCGGTCGTGCATGAACAGCTTCTCAGTATAAAATTGGATTACAAAATGCGAAGAATGTATTCTATAGGCGAAGGAATGAGTGGAATCTAATTCAATGCGGTTACGGACTAGACACACGAAATGATTTCCTTGTTGTATGTGATTTACAATCTGATTCTTGACATTTGTTCTGCCTTATCTGGTGCCTGCTCGTTACATCGTTACATCGAGGTATCTCAGCGGTTATTTTCGCTGTCGACGGCGTCAAGTTTATCTACTGTTTCGTGACCCAAAATCCGACACTGTCGGCACCACTGGAACCGTCCAAAATTTAGTTCGATGATAGGCAGCTAGATTATTATCCAACTTATAAACAGTTCAATCACTACGGGGTCGTGTGGGACGTATCGAAGTTATCAAGTTCAATGAACTCACCCTCAGTGTGATGAAATCACTGGAGCTGAAACACTCCCAAATTGTTGCAATCTTGATTGTAAACATTGCATGTTCTTGATGTCATCGATTTTTCACATTAGCAAGGGAATGCTAACTGGACCGATACAATGCTTAGTTTGGTGATCTCGACTACCGTTCCTAACGAATAATGAAAGATGGTCAAAAAGCAAGACAGCGTTTTGAATTGGTACTGGAGAATCGCACAAACGCGATGAATAGTGCGAGATATCTTAGGGATTGATGTCAACTCATCTGGCGACGAAGAGTCGTGAAACCTTTAACGGTTGAAGCGTGCGTATTTCACTATTCACAGCTAACATGCGCACTACAATCGTGATTGTGCTGTCGCGTAATACGAGGTGATCAGTGATATCATTTGATCAAAGTTGAATTCCCGTTGCGGACAACTTGATGCATTCTGCTAGGATGAGTTAAACATTGTACTTCGATTGAAATGCTTTATGATGGAAAACGTTTCTGGTTTCTCATCTTGATTTTCCTGATCTGTAACGTCCATTTCGTTTATTAAGGATATTGGCGAACGCTGGCATTAAACCAAATAATGCAGTCCTGTTGAAAGTAAGTCACATGCATTTCCACTTATGACATCTGGTCACAACAATGTTTTGGTACTGATAACCACCTTTGAATGCTACAGTGTTCGGAGCAGTTACATTATGAGATATAAAATGAGCGTATTGTAGATATTCTTCCTCCCGTGAAGAAACTTCGGTGTGAGTGACTTACTTTTCAACTGATGCATCGGACAACAATTGCCCCCGTCCTCTTTCGCGAAAATGAATATGTTCCACATTTCAATCGTGTTTTAGAGGAGTACACTTCTGATTTAGGTGTGAGCGGTGTTGGACAGCTTCAACCGAACTTCAGCAAATCATAGCTTCGACAAAGTTTTTGGAATAGACACGTCGTTTTCGTGAATATTACCAAGTTTCGGGGAGAACGGTAAAAGAGAATTCTCTAGTGTATTGTGGCTTATTTTTGAATGATCACCTCTAGATTTCAGACAATCAGCGGTACATACCAAGGCAACCTGTTTCTACGTACGCTTGTGTACATAACAGTTGTGACATTTACAAGGTTTCTTTTTGATCTTAAACACTTGGCAATACCATATTTTCGCGTTTTGACAGAATCTGATTATCCCTCTACCCATTTTTGTTTTCAGCGTGATGATGTCATTCAGGCAGTGAACAATGTTTTAAATGTGCGTTCTAGATTAAGCTGTCTTCAGGAAAAGGTAAGTGTGAAGGAACGCGGATTCGATGAAAGATTGCGTGTATCTTCATGTTTGGTGACGAGTATTCACACAACTTGATTGTAGTATGAGATTATTTGATTAGTGAGCCCACCAGATAAATGCATGTTTATGTCCAGTGAAATTCAACAAATGAGAAATTACCATTCGCTTGGTGTATTGAGATTTCATCGGCCTCAGCTACTCACTAACAAACTGCGCGACCGTTTGCTCCGACCATTTCTCCCCCATCTGTCCAACTCCTGTCCTTAACAAGTCAGGTACTTGTATGCAGTGATCCAAATGCAGTACTCCATCTATTTGTAAAATATTATAATATAATCATCAGGCGACATTAGAGATGACACGTTTAGCCACTTCATGATTCTGATGAAATGATTCTTATCAAACGTTGGAAACCCCGTCTCACATGACAATTGGTGATGGAGAATTAGCTGTAAGTTCCAATAAATCGTACAATTCACATCTGATTAATATTCCGATCGATTCTCACTCCCGGTCTGTTCAGAATAAACCGGCTCAGTTGTTGGAAGTACGAGTCTGTGTGGATCCGAAATTGGAACTGATCAATTGCAACGCAAATGATGTCGAGGATCAACTGGGTGATTTCTCCCATGGATCTGCGAACGCCATCTCATGTCCGTCGGAGTTCACGTTTCCCGTTATGAATTAATTCCATTCACTTCTTTGGCTTCGCGTTTTTGATAACAGAATACGACAGTTGTAACCCGATACAAAATTCCTTTCTTAACTACTAATAAACATACATCTTTGCATACCTGAAAGTGGTCTTATTTCTTTTTCGGACGAAATCAGCTCAGATTATCTGAACTTATTTGTCAATAACACGTAACACACTCCAGTTTGTTCTGAACGCAGCAGTACATGCTTTTCAGAACACTCATATTAATGTGAAAGGTATTCACTGGTCTCTTGCGTTCCGTGATCGAATCGGACAGTTGTGAACGTATTGAATTCGTTTGCAGATATTGTGTTCTCAGTCAGATCCATCAGTACCGTTGTTATCACTGTTATTTTGATAGATCCTGCAGGGGTTTGCATGTGATAGTCGAAGCCTCTTTCCGGTTGTAGGCCTCATGAATAACACAGTGTTTGAGTTTATTTGAAATTGAGGCCGCTCCGTCAGATAACTACATATACGTAACCACCGTGGTCTCTTGGGGACAGGAACAATGTAAAAATTGAACAAACATCCCACAAGTTACCTGTGATTGAACTTGGAACCGGATTCGGAGGAGATGATTTGAATTGAAGACAGATTATTCAATAATGAGTTTAAATTGTAGGGGAAACTAGTGGGCTTGCAAAATACAGTGTCATTATCCGTTATCTTTCCAAGTATATGTATTTGTGCTCTTTTTGTAGAACAGAGCTAGCAAGTGTTCGATGCCCCTTGAATTTCATTGTGTTTCTTGAAAGTTCTGATACAGAAATGGAATCGAATTCCGAGTGAAATCGAAAGTTCCAAAAGGCCGGAGGAAACCAAAGGGGGCTCTGTAGCAGTGGAATAATTACGATTACTGAGTAGTCCTGGCACATCGAGTCACAAGTCACAACTCGCTTTATTCGTCCTAAATGATGGTTTGCAGCTCCGTGCACATCAGAGTCAATCATCATCGCATACAGTCGCAGAGAAAAAGTAAAATACAGCGTCGCAAATTCAGGAGGAAAGTGGTGTAAAAATGTGAAAATGAATATCATTTACCTGGGAATTTTAACAAGTTGTCTCTAACCGATGCTTTCTGTACCAGAAGTATTCGCAAGACATGGGATAACCGACAAACGGTGGACAGTGCTACAATTATATAAAAGTTTATAACGACACCTAATTAGAGAAGTGGATAAATATTGTTTAAGTTCTGTGTATGATGGGTGAGTGGTATCTAATAGAATATTGTCGCAGAAGTTCTCTCAAGAGGTAAAATGTGGCAGCGATAAGATTGAGCAAGTGTGAATAGTTGATACCGTTTGTGCGTGAAATGATTTTAACAGACCGGCATCGGATTGCGCAGTCTTTAACTATAAGATCGACAAATGAAACTGGGGAGCAGTAAACAAGATGGGTGGCAACACGGAATATACACAACGAGTAAGTGAAAACAGGGGAACGTTTAAAGATTGCAAGTGGGAAATAAAGAAACACAATCGTTGAATCCATTAAACATTAGAGTTTAAATGTGAAGTCCGTGTGAGAATTGGACAGATAGTAAAACTGAGGGATTGTAGAGAACATACTGGGATAACAGATTGTTTGTCAACATAGAGTACAGAGCAATTTCTTTCAAAAGAATATAGCCGTTCTCTTTTGGCTAGTCAGAAGGTGATAGCCCTAAATTCAGAGGCATTGATAGATAAATGATATACAAGTTGTGAACATTATAACTATTGTGGGGCGAGTAGTCAAGAACAGTACACGACGAATGGTGGCCGAATGTAGAATAAGGAGCGCTCACATGGATTTTCTACCGTAACGCATTTTATACGTCCCAACGAGAAAAGTGATGTTTAATCACACACAGGTGCTTAGTGGTACCTGTCTGCAGGATTCAATTGCACAATAGATCGTTTATTAGCTATTTTTCTGCTTTGAAACATTTGCATATTTAGCGAACATTTGATGTAATGTGCGAATATCTTGCCTGCCGCTTTCCTTTCAGTCACAACTTTAGCGGAAGGAGGGTTCACCCCATTGTTGGGTATTGACCCTATCGTACACATCCTCCACAACTGTACTTCAGTATAGATGATACCAAGGCATTCTCAAAAGTCAGCGTTAGATATGTGGCCCTGGTTAACGAAGAATTCAGATAGATCAATAAGAGTAGCACGATTATTACGTAATTCGAAATTTGATGCTGAAGGGAACATCAATGCATTTAGACAAAATGAACAAACAAGAATGGGAAAAAGGCCCCAAATAGAAACGTCTTTAGACTGTTTTGATATTGTTACACACAGAAATAATGTTTGTACGAGCACAGATCACCACATGATCCGCGTACCCGCAAACAATAAAGATGCGAGCAGGAATAGGGTTGTACGTGCACAGTGGAACATTTATGGAGATAATATGTCGACGTGCAAAACGTATGCAGAATATTTCACTGCTCACCGACAGGTCTTCACAATACAACCTAAGAAGGAATCCCTCCAAGTGTTAATATGTCTTATTTTCTTTGTTGAAGGGCAACCAATTTGCTTTTATGAACTCCTACCAGCATGTCATTATCAATGGAGCAAAGCTTCCAGAGCTTGCACCGTCAAATACCACGGAGTCACCGTTTTCCGTAATCTTCTTCACAAAGAAGGGGACATAGAATGAAGTTAGGAATGTCCCGTGCACTCAGAAGCATCAGAGCTAACTTTTC